GGTTAGGCCTATTGTAGAGTTAGGAGATTTCTATCTATTTTACGTAGAATCTATCAGTTTATAAGTTTATAATAATTATGAAATCTAGCCTAATATAAATTTGATGTTTATTATGAAATCTAATATAAGTATATAACAAATTATAAACGTTTGTAATTGTCAAGTATTATTTTAGATAAAAAATCAGAAACTTATTTATAAAAATCAATTATTATTTTTTTTTTGTTTTAATAATTTCACAAAACTATACAACAACTTATTTAGGTAAAATATTTTACTGTCTTCCAATTAATACCAAACATAATTTTATTACTCTTGTAGAAAGAAATAAATTAAAATAATTTTTCCCCTAAATTTAATAAAAACTATATAACAGCATATTTACATAAATATTATCTTCCAATTATAACTTAATTATAATATAATTTGGAAGTTTAGATGATTGTTTTCGCATGTATTTTTAATATAGGCCTTGCATGCCATTATGGGATATGAGGACCAATTCGTAAGTTTACAATTATCTATTGTTACTATTTTGTAGTTCAATTGTGACGTTGGTTAGACTGTATATTGTTACGTTGTTAGACGGCGTATCATATGTACCGTACTGTTGGTTGGAAATGGTATCTTTTGTACCGTTATATGTTGGAAGAAATAAAGTTAACCAGCAACGCATTGAAAACATCGGTCTTAGTGTTTTATTGGGGTCGAAATAGACGAAACATCAATGAAAAGGTTTCGGAAGAAGATACTGAGATCTGACCGAAATCACTGGAGAATCTGGAAAAAAAGAAAAAGGAAAATGATGAGCAACGCTTTACAAAACAAACGGTTCTTTTCAGAACCTCCAAATATTCCAAAAGAGATTTGATCAAATGATTGCTGCCTTGTGTAATTTAAAAAAAAAAAAAAAATGTAGTTCTGTATATTTTTTTTTGTCAATTTTTGGGAACTGACCTTGACAATGCCCTTTTAGTAATGACATTAATAATAATAATAATAATAGTTAACAATAATTATGGCAATAATATGAAGTAATATTAATATTAGTGCATAATAAATAATTTTAAAATTTGCTAATTACCCAAATTTCCACTCTGAAAAGTATTAATTCATATTTAAACATTTGACCTTTACCAGTGACCTTTGACCTTTAACAGTGACTTTTGACATGTGATGGTGACCGCTGACCTAACTTAATAATTACATAACTAATTATGTATAATAATTAGACAATGTGTTGTTACATAAATAAATACTGATAAATACAATGAAATTAACATGGCCTAAAATGCTACACAATTATACTGTAGGGGACACATTTCTTGGATAATAAAAACAATAAGAATTAACTCCGGATTAAAAAGTACTTAAAATTGCAATATCTCCGCTGATACTGGTCCGATTTACATAATTTTTGTTTTAAAATGCTTCACTCAGCTATGTCTTTCTTACAAAAATTATTAAAAAAATATTTGCAATTTTTTATGTTTCTAGCTAATAATGTTATAAAGATTTATAAATATAATACGGAATTGCTAGTTTAACTGAATTTAGACATTCCTAAGAAAAAAATGTAAAATAAGACCGAAATTTGATTTTTTGTGTTCCACACAAAAAATAAATGCGGATGAATTTTCATGTTTGATTTTGCGACAGGTCGTGAGAAGAAATATCGTAGGCGCCGAAAACATTAGCCTATCCAATGCTGCTAGGCTATTTACCTCTATTTAGGTTCTGTTATCACACATAAAAACGGCCGACATGATATTTTCCGTTGCTAGTATTGACACTTGTGAATATAATATTTCACAGGAATTATTTCAAATTTGTTAAAAAACTGATTCTGACTGAGATTTTGACACTTAAACTAACAAATCTCAGCATAACCGAACGACCGCATTGTGCGAGATGCGAAGTACAAAAAGTAATCTCATTAGAGAGGGCGCACTTTATTGACTGTATAAAGTATAAATAAAAGCTGGGAAAATAAACCACCACTGGTACCACTCTACTCTGGCTCTGGCTGTGTGAAGTGTGATGTACTGGCCTAGCCAAGACAGCTTATTTTCAGAATTTAGTATATGTGACAGTCATTTATACAATGCTTGTACTGCATTTAACTTATAAAATTTGATTGAATGATTGAAAAATATTGCACAAAGAAGCAAGAATATTTCCACAAAATTTTATTGAGGGAATATGAGTTTTATATTAGCTATGGGCCTGATTAAGGGCACGCAACTAAAAACAAAATGCAGTTCATGTATATGTCTCTCGATTCGGAGGACCTGAGAGATACAGTAGAAAGTTAATGTAGAAGTAGCGAAATGCCATCTGCATGCCTGGCAAATGTGAGTAAACTACCTGCATACTGTAGCCATACACCAGCAAAACCGATAAGGAAGCAGACTCGATTATGTATTGAGGCCAGAATGCAACACTGCCCTCCTAGCTTAATAATAGCAAGCTTTCGATCCATGACGGTAGACAGGAGAGGATGGTAAAATGGTACAAAAATGTATCTGCGCATGTGTGTAAGTTCAGTACTCTCCGTCTCGTTCAAATCCAGAACGGTCTTCTCTCGATTTAACGTTCGGTCTAAAATATGATGGGAAGCGATGCACTGGGAACCAGGGAATGTTTAAGTTGCGTGCGATGCATGGCAGACGAAACCTAGGCCTAGGCCTTTCAGCTTTCTGTGCAAGCAGCCTCTCCTTACCTAAAATAACTGTTACACTCATCGTCATTGTATCCGTTTAAATCAAATAGGGCATAGTTTTTGTACTGGAAATCTGGATTAGTGACATATTATGTCATATAAAAACATAAATTCTGCATCATCAAGAAAGCCATATAAATACTCATTTTCAATGTTTTCACGGAGTACGCGTAAATTCGGCATTCTCAGTTCCTTAAATCGCATACCAGGCTAGGTTAAGAAAAAGTTTGCAAAAAAGTTTTCATTCGACGTCAACTTAAGGGCGTTAGTGTACGAGCCACCGTCGTGCAGCGGGTAGAATGATCGAAAATGTTTTCACAACAGGACGGGAGGCGTTCGTGACGGTCAGGTAGCTCTCCGTACCCATTGCCCACCGTCGGGAATC